GATAGAGAGATATTTCATAACAATAAAGAAGTCAATTTATCAAGAAGACATAACGAACCTAATCCATACGTACCTAATAACAGAGTTCCGAAATACATGAAAAGCAAAACTGACAGAACCAAAAGGAGAAGTCTGAAAGTTCACAATTATAATTGAAGTTTTCAATACCAGTCTCTCAATAATTGACAAAATTAGTAAAGATAAAGAAGATCTGAACAACACTATCAATCTCCATGACCTAATAAACGGTTACAGATCCAAAGAGTGCAGAACACACATTCTTTTCAATGTGCATGTTACATTTATGAAGATAAACCACATTCTGGGCCATAGGGCAAATCTCAGTAAATTTAAAAAGAAGTATGTTCTGAAGTGTTATGTTATGTTATGTTATGAACTGAAGTATGTTCTCTGACCTCACCAGAAGTAAACCAAAAATCAGTAATAAAAATATCTCTGAGAAGACCCCTAATATTTGAAAACTAAGTAACGTACTTCTAAATAATCCATGGGCAAAAAGAAAATCACAGGGAAATTAAAAAGTATTTTAAATAGAATGAAAACAAAAACAAAACAATCAAAACATGTGGGATGCCACTAACCCAGTACTTAGTAAAAATTTATAGCATTAAACACCTATATGAGAAAAAAAGGAAAGTCTCAAATCAACAACCTCAGCTTCCACCTAAAAAAACTAGAAAAGCAAATGAAGACCAAAGTTAAGCAGAAGAAAAAAATTACAAAGATTAGAGTAGAAATCAATGCACTATAACTAGAGGAAAGAAAAGAAAAAAAAATGAAATCAAAAGCTGGTTCTCTGAGAAGATCAATAAAATTGATGAAGCTCTAGCCAGACTGACCAGGATAAAAAGAGAGAAGAAACAAATCACCAGTACCAGAAATGAGGGCAGTACATCACTACAGATTCTACAGACAGTAAAAGGATAAAGGAATATTATAAATAATTTTGTGCTTATAAATATGACAACACAGATGAAATGAAAAAATTCCTTACGAGACACCAATGAGCAAAACTCATTCAAGTAGAAACAGATAACCTGAAGAGCCGATGTCTCTTTAAAGAAATTGAAATTGTACTCCTGGTCCAGATGGCTTAAGTAGTGAATTCTACCAAACATACAAGAAATAAATAATAACAATTTTACATAAACTCTTCCAGAAAACTGAAGAGATAATTAAACCATAATAAGGTATCACTATATACCTCCTATGGGCTAAAACTAAAAAGACTGACCACACCAACTGTTGGTGAGGATGTGGAGGAATTGGAACTCTCATATACTTGTGACGTAAATGTAAAATGATACAACCACTTTACAAAACTGTATGGCTATTTATAAAAAAGTTCAACATACACAAAAATATGATCCAGTCACTTCACGAGGACATTTTTTTTTTTTTTTTTTTTGAGACAAGAGTCTCACTCTGTTGCCCCGGCTAGAGTGCTGTGGCGTCATCCTAGCTCACAGCAACCTCAAACTCCTGGGCTCAAGCGATCCTCCTGCCTCAGCCTCCCGAGTAGCTGGGACTACAGGCATGCGCCACCATGTCCGGCTAATTTTTTCTATATATTTTTGGGTGTCCGATTAATTTCTTTCTATTTTTAGTAGAGACGGGGTCTCGCTCTTGCTCAGGCTGGTTTCGAACTCCTGAGCTCAAACAATCCACCCGCCTTGGCCTCCCAAAGAGCTAGGATTACAGGCGTGAGCCACCGCGCCTGGCCGGACATTTTTTTTTTAAGATGGGGTCTCATTATGTTGTCCAGGCCAGACTTGAACTCCTGGGCTCAAGGGATCCTTCCACCTCAGCCTCCTGAGTAACTGAGATTACAGGCATCCACCACTGCACCTGGCCCCACAAGTAGCCCCAAGAGAAATGAAAACACATATTCACACAACAATTTGTACATAAATGTTCATAGAAGCTTTATTTATAATAAACAAAAACTGCAAACAATCCAAATGTCCATCAATAGATGAAAGGATAAACAAATTATGGCATGTGTCTACAATAGAATATTACTCAGCAATAAAAAGGAATTAAAGCATTGATATATGCTCTAATATGTGTAAATCTAAAAATAATTATGTTGAATGAAAAAAGCCAGACAAGAAAACATGCTGTAGAATTCTATTTACATAAAATTCTAGGAAATGCAAATTAATCTTCAGTGACAGAAAGCAGATCAGTAGCTGCCTGGGGACAGGGTGGGGCATGGAAGGGCAGGAGACAGGAATTACCAAGTGGCACAACGAAATTTTTGAAGGTGATGTTCACTATCTTGACAGTGGTGGTAGTTTCACTGATACATGCATATGTGAAAACTTACCAAACTGTACACTTTAAATACGTGCAGTTTACTGTATGTCAATTATACCTCAATAAAGCTATTAAAAAATACCATTATCAGCCAAAAGCATGAAATACTAAGTAATAAATTTAATAAAACATGTTCGAGACTTTTATACTGAAAACTATAAAACATTGTTAGATACTGAGACACTGAGGGTTGCAGCAAAAAATTTAAAAAATAAAAAACATTGTTAGAAGAATTCAAAGAAGACCTAAATAAATGGAGGGACGTATGATGTTCGTATGGATTAGAAAATGCAACTCAATATTGTTAAGATGTCCACTCTCCCAAAATTAATCTATATACTCAATGCAATTGAACCAAAAGCCGGTAGGCTTTTGCGTAGAAACTGACAAAGGAATTCTAAAATTCCCTTGGAAACACAAAGGACACAATGTAGTCAAAATAATTTTGAAAAAGAATAAAGTTGGAAGACTCCCACTACCTAATTTCAAGGCTTAGTACAACACTACAGCAATCAAGACAGACACATAGATCAATGAAACTATGAAAAGAGTTCAGTACTATATTCCAATATATTCCAATTGATTTTCAATAAAGATGCCAACATAATTGGATAATTTCAATAAATGGTGCTGGATCAAATAGACATCAATCTGGAAAGAAATGAACCTCAACTTTACCTCATACCATACACAAAAATTAATTCAATACATACCATAAACCAAAATATAAAAGCTAAAATGATAAAACATCTAGAGGAAAATATGAGGGAAAAAGCTTTGTGAAGTTGGTGATGGTAAAGATTTCTTAGACAGGAAGCACAAAATGCATAAATGCATAAGCTTTTAAAAAATTTGGTACACTGGCCTTCACTGACATTTAAAACTTCCGTTCTTCAAAAGCTACTGTTACAAAAATAAAAAAGCTAACCACAGACTTGCAGAAAATATTCACAATATATATCTGAGAAAGGACTTGTATCGAGAGTCCTTTATGGCAGGCGCGGTGGCTCACACCTATAATCCTAGCACTCTGGGAGGCAAGGCAAGAGAATTGCTTGAGCCCATGAGTTTGAGACCAGCCTGAACAAGAGTGAGACCCTGTCTCTACTAAAAATAGAAAAATTAGCCGAGTGTTGTGGCACATGCCTGTAGTCTTAGCTACTCGGGAGGCTGAGGCAAGAGGATCGCTTGAGCCCAGGAGTTTGAGGTTGCAGTGAGCTAAGATGATACCACTGCCCTCTAGCCTGGGCAACACAGCAAGACTCTGTCTCCAAAAAAAAAGAGTCCTTTATAATACAGTAATAAAAAGATTACAAATCCTAAATTTAAAATGGAAAAAAAGAAGATATACAAATTGCTAACAACAAATGAAAAGATGTTCAATATCATTATTCATCATAGAAAAGCAAATTAAAACTACAAAGAAATATACTACCCAGCCATTAGACTGCCTGAAAAGGCCTAGCAATACCAAGTATTGCCAAAGATGGGGAGCAACTGAACTTTCATACATCATTAGAAAAATGTAAAATGGTACCACCACTTCCAAATGACCCATCTATTCCACTCATAGGTACACTTGATCCTTGAAAGCACACACAAAACCTGGGTTTGAACTGCACGAGTCTACTTATATACAAGTTTTTTCAACCAAAAATGGATCAAAAACACTGTATTCACAAGATGTAAAACCTGCATACACAGAGGGCCAGCTTTTCATACACACAGGTTCCACAGGGCCTACTGTGGGACTTGAGTATGCACAGATTTTGGTATACACAGAGGTCCTGAAGCCAATTCCCTGAGAATACTGAGGGGTGACTCTATTTACCCAAAAGAAATGAAATCATGAGTCCACACATGAATGTTCGTAGCAGCTTTCTTCGTAATAGCCCCAAACTGGACACACCCAAATGTTCCACAACAGATGAATGGATAAACAAATTGTGGTCTAGTCACACAATGAAACAGTACATAACAATAAGGAATGAACTACTGCTTCATAAAACAACACAGGTAACTATTAAAAACACTACGCTGAACAAGAGTTTAGATGTGAAAGTGTACATACTGTATGATTCCATTTATGTGATGTTCTAGAAAAACTAGTGACAGACAGCAGGTATGTCGATATCTGAGGCTTGAGGTGATGGAGAGGATTGACTGGGAAGGCCAGGAAGGACTTATGTAGGTGATGACACAGATTCTAGTGGTGGCAGTGGTTAAACTGGTATTTATAGTAGTCAAAAATCATCAAACTGTACACTTAAAATAGATGCATTTTACTACATGTAAACTAGGTCTCAGGAATGATTAAAATTAAACAATATATTGCTTAGGCACACATATAGATGACAGAACAATTTTATTTTTCAAATCAAGGTTATGACAAATACAAAGCTTATGACCCTGGGTTGGGGAGCTAGTCAGGATTAAACTAGCTAGCTAGGGGATTTAAAAAAAGAGAGGAATAATATACAGGTAGATTAAAGTACTGTTAATGATCTAGTCCTTGGGTTGGATAATATTCATCATATTATAAATAAATACACAAAATAAGAAAGGCATCATGTGGGGAGCAATATGACAGTGTGTCACAGTTAATCTGATTCTATGGACTTGAGGTACAGATTAAAAAAAAAAAAAGGTAGTCACCTCACCCATATATTTCCCATGTCTCAGATGTAGGAAATATGCGAATAAATCCACCTCTCCGATCATTCTCTTCCTTCACCCTCCGTAAAACTTTGATCTAGATGGAAGAAAATGAATAAAGTGAGTACCTATTTTGAAAACTGGAGTCCATGTGACTGTAGGACAAAGGAAGAGAGTTATGATCCAAGAATATGAAAGAAACATGGAGGGAGAAGTTAATTCCATTTAAAGTGTTGTTTCCTGAAAAAAATTTCTCCCATCTTGCATCTTTCCTTTTCAATGTAAGATATGAATTTGTCATGAATATTACGAATCACTCACTAATTTTCACTGAATCCTGTGTTAACCCAAAAAGGCCTGAAAAGGAGTATCTTTACCTCCTCCATTGACAGACCAAGCACAGAACCACCTAACTTCCCCGGCACTTTCTCCCGGGTTGAGCCCATAAGGTTTTTCATTTCCGCATCACTGGCAGAGAGTGGACGGGAACGCTAAGGAGAAGAAAATAAAAATAATAAAGTTTTTTAAAACACAGTTTTCATCATTCCTCATTTCCCTCTGTTCAGTCCCTCACGTCATTATCTTTCCTAGTATGTATAAGCTCAAATATATAGCCCATTTTCTGTAGTTAATATCTTAGCCTGAAACCCTGGGAAACAGATGAAAGCTAGTAAGCTCAAAGGCATGAAGAGAAAGTAGAATAGTAGGAAAAACATTATAGGTTGAGACAGAAACACACAGAAAAAAAGAATGAGGTCCACATGACTTTCTAAGCTAGTACTTAATCCTAACTTTGGTTTCAGAGTGCATCCAATATTTCAAGGATATGGAAAAAATCTGAAAAGAGTCTCAATAGAAAAGTGTGTATTTATTTCAGTAAATATATTCTTTTTAGCACTGGGGAAGGAGAGTTAAGAGAATTGAGACATAAGACACAAAATCAAGGAATAACCTATTATACCATAAATGAAAAAGTTGGGCTGTGAGATGTTTTAGAACTTGAGGGGGCAGATGCTGAGATGAAAGTCATCAATGACACAGAACAGGGCTGTGACCAAAAGGCTACTACTTAGGAAACACTGTGGTTGCTGGACTTCAAGAGACCTGGAACAAGGATGACTGCCCTGGGGAGTACTCCAAGGAGGCAGCCAAATGGGCCATGTTCATCACTTGTTCCAAAAGATGATCTGGGCTACCTGAGCTTCTGAATGATGAGGAGGGACCTCATCTGAGTACAAAACTTTTAAGTGATTTTAATTTTATACGAACAGAAAAATAGAAAGGTAATAAAGGAAGTCAGATGGTATGAAACATAATAATATACTATTATTGAAACAGATGAAATGACAGATAAAATAAGATGAATCTGCCAAGTAGAAAGAACAGAAATAATTCACCAACTATGAGTGCAAACTGTCTTCTAGATTCCTAGAAGTAACTCAAAGAAAGAGAAGCAGCCCTGTTGTCAGGACCTATTGTTTGTCTTTCTCTATGTATAGACTATTTATTGAAAGGCATTTTGGTAATTAACTTTTGGCCTTTTCAGCAATATTCATTGTTATGGACTGAATATTTATGTCTCTCTAAAATTCTTATGTTGAAGTCCTAACCTCCAATGTGATGGCATCTGGAGATAGAGCTTTTGGAAGGTAATTTGGGTTAGATGAGGTCATGAGGGTGGAGCCCTACTCTAATGGAAACACTGTGCCCTTATAAGAGACACTAGAGAGCTTAATCTCTCCCTCTTTCTCTCTCTCTGTCTGCCCCCCACCCCACCCCAGTGTGTGCACAAAAAAGAGGCCATGTGAGCATACAACAAAATGGCAGCCACCTACAAACCAATAAAAGAAACTTCAGAATGACATCTACCTTGCCAGCACTTTGATCTTGGACTTCCCAGCCTTCAGAACTGTGAAAAAGAAATTTCTATTGTTTAAGCCACCTAGTCTGTGGCATACTGTCACGGCAGCCCAAACAAAACGAATATACCCACTTACACAAATAACCAAAAACAGTTTTACCTTTGAACACAAGAGATACCAATACATACTCATCTTCAAAGCTAGCATGGGAGTTATAAAAACTAAATTTTCTGATAGGCAACTCCAAGATGAGATACCTATATAAAGAAAAGCCAAGAAATCAACAGATAGATGTAAACAACACATGAAGTGCAGGGACTTTTTATCTGCGTAGCTTTTACTGTGGTGTCTTCAACATCTAGAATTGTACACTGTACTTGGCACAGAATAGATGAATAAATATTTGTTGAATGAATAAATGAATGAAAGTGCTGACATACAGATCAATCATGGTCAGAACTGAATTTTGTAGAATGATTTTAGGAAATATCTTAACCACTTTCAATCTCTGGAAATATATTAAACAATATCTATTGAAATGAGAGGGTTTATAGGGGAAAGTTCAAAGATTTAGAAAGGAAACCAATACAATAATAATTTTTAAAAAATTATTAAAAAGTATGAATACTTATTTAATGTATAATTTGGAAAAGCCAAAATATTAAATGAATGGTTTGAGGACTTTTCTCATGATCACATACTACTTATTATTTACCAAAAAGTACTTATCTAGTTCACACATGACAGCATGTCCCTGATCATAAAGCCATAGCTTTGGGATCCTCCCAAATCCTCCCAAGTCAAGTAGCTTACTTACCTAATGGCTTTTAAAGTTGTCTTAAATTATACAAGGAGAATAAGAAATAAGCATTCAGTTAAATAATATAATAAAAATAGAGATTTTTTAATAAAGTATTTAGAACAGAAAGAATGTTATTTAATAGTGTTGACAAACTAAAATCTGTATTAAAAGGTCAATGAAAAATATTTTAAGAAATAGGTATTACCTATTAGAATAGTTTTAATACATTGCTGTATTTATAAGAACATGGGTCAAATCACTATTGAATGACATCTAATGTGAACCTCAAATTTTTGTGGGTTTTTAAAAATGGATTTTAATATTCTTGGCTTCTAGAAATTGAGATAATGATGTTGTGACCTTCTTCTACTATCTGGTCCCTGTAAACAACAAATTAGCACCCCAAAACTCTTAAACTTCTCTGCCAATCACTTTCGATGAGTTATCTCCCATACACAACTACTCCTTAGTTACTCACAGCCCACAATTCTAGCTCTAGCTACTGTGTACATACACATATGTGGACTGTTTGGGGTAGGGAAGAAGTCATGAAGGAATTCAGGCCTGTGCTTCTGGTGGAGTATCTAGGAGGTTTGAGAAAGGAAAGAAAGCATCTGGAATTATAGATACAGGTGAAAGAAAAGGCAGGGAAAGAGAGAAGGGAAGAAGAAAGAATAAGGAAGGGGGAAAAAAGAAATGCTTATGAGCATCAAGGAGACACACCTGGAGATTAAAAAGTAAGGCAAAGGTAAAAAAAAAAAAAAAGAATCAGACTGATTTGAAGGCCATCAGGACTATCAAAAACATGCACAAAACAGTCCAAATGCAAGCCAGTCTGTGATTTTGACTTTGGACATACCAGCTACATTCTCTGGGTGGTAGATATAATAATAAATCCACATATTCCCATGGGTTGACTGAATGCACTAAGGAAATAAGGTTCTTCTGAACTTAAAGAGAACAACTGCCTCTGGCTAGATAACATATGAATTAAACTATCAGGTGTTCAGATAAATTTTAAACTGTCAAATTAATGTCAAGTTAAGAATTCCACCATGAAACATGCATCAAAGATATTAAATTGTCATTAGTACAATTTATGATTCAGAAATCTACCCAGAGAAGAAATCTTTACCTAACTCATCACTATTGCTAAGGAAGAACTGACTGCGAATGTAAAAGTATTGAGACAAGTTATCTCATGCCCTTACTCAAAGCAGCAAGAAACAAATGTTGAATCAGAAAAATGATTCTCAGCCTAAAGAAAACTGGCAAGTAACAATGATGAGAAGAATCCGACAAAAAGTAGAATAGGAAAAAAGGTGAGATATCCTAAAAGATATCATAACTGAGGGGAAAAAATAAAATCTATTTGACAGGTAACACATGCAAAGAATAAAAATCTCCCAATGTACTTTTACAAACTTTGGAGTAAAGAAACTAGAAATAGCTCAATTTATATGTGATGTATTTGCCACCTAGAAAATAAAAGGTAAAATTAAGTTTAAAAAGCAAAATGAATTAATGTTATCAACTGAAAGAAAAAAGTGAAAAGAACGACATATCCAGAAATCTGACTGGAAGTGGACAAAAATGGCTTCTAAGAGAAGGTTGAAACGTAATGATAATCAGAAGTATACTTTGAAATTTGGGGGGAAAAGGAAAGTAAGTAAGTAGGCTTGTGTTACAGTAAAAAAAAAAAAAAGAGATTATGCAACGTCTGGAAATTTGGAATAAATGTAAGTCAGTAGGTCTTAGAGACATGCATCTTGTTATTAAGGGAATTGGCTTCAAAAATAAAAAAACTTACCAAAACCACTTACAATTATGTTTGAAAAATCATGAAGAACTGAGGAGGTACCAGAGGATGAGAAAAAAACAAATGAGGTACCAATCCTCAAAACTGTAAGAAGTATGCTCCTGGTGATTACTGCCTGGGTAAGCCTAACTCAAATCCCTAGTAAAATAATGGTACAAATATTAAAAGAAAAAAATCCATAAACATTTAATGAGCTCATGAAGAATAGTATGGAGGCTGCATTATTTATTTTAAAAATGCTTTAAAAGTTGAATTTTGGGGACAAAATTCCAAAAAAGAGGACAACAGCAAATATATTTTAATGTCTTTGGACTTTAGAGAAGCATTTAAGAAAACTGCATGAAATTTTTATTCTAAATTATATTTCCAATCAGACGTTAGTGTCATAATATAATGACTATAATACATTGACAAAAACTAAAAACAGTTAAAAACCATAACTGTAAAATAGATAAATATTAATAGCTGTGAATCAAGTTAGGAAGTGATTTCCAGGATGGGGATTAATTAAGCATTATTTAGACTCTTCTTTAACATCTGGAGGAGAAACAAACAAATAAATAAAACAGCAAATGTGGATCACAGCAAATGTGAAAAAACATGACTATAAATAGCTGAAAATCAAAATAATACCAAATAATGACAATGGGAAAAGGAAAATCAAAATAGGATTCAAAAGTATGAAGGGGACTAAATTTTCTGAGTATAAACTATTATACATGTCCAGCACTGTCCTGAATATTTTTCCTGTTTCATCACTTCCTTCTCAACATAACTCCATGTATGTATTATTATATATCCCCATTTGACAGCTGTGGGAACTGAGCCTCAGAGAGGTACTGGACCTTGCCCAAGGTCTGACAGCTAGTGATTGGCAGAAATCAAATATGAATCCAGGTCTATCTGATTCTAAAGTCCATGTTCTTTCCACAATACCATGCGATACAATTTCTGGTGGGTGGCAAATTTGAACCACAGACATTCAAGGGGAGGGAGAAATGCAGATAGAATAGATTAAAAAGGAAAAGGCAGACAAAGGGCAAAGAAGAAAGAGACTTCACAATTTTACAGCAACAGAAAAAGAAAACGACATAGTCTTAATAGTCAGAACAGGGAATTTCTTTTCTTTTCCTTTCCTTTTTTTATCTTTACTTAGCTCTGATGAAACTATTGTAGAGTTGTGAGTACTCCATTAACAGAAAGACAATGACCAAGTAGAACACTGCAAAGAACAATAAGAGTCAAAGAATACAACATGTATAAATCTGGCTGAATAAAACCAGAAAGGTTTTGTGTCAAGTAAGCAAGTGTTCAAACATATAACTACTAGAGAGGCCTTGCCCTCCAACAAGGCTATTGCAACCCATGGCAATTCAACCAATGCAACTAGATGCAATGGAATTAAAATGTATAAAGAGAAATTAAGATTAGAATTGCATATCAAAGACACTTCTTTAGAGTCAAACTCAGAAGTCTATGAAAGAGTACTCCTTTCCTAATGTTCTCCTTTAAGTAGAATAGTTCAAGGAATATTTAGAATGTAAGCTCTTTGAAGTCAACAGCCTTGTTTTGCTTTATTTATTTAGCCATGGATAGCAGCTAGCGTACTTAGGCACTTACTAAATATAAAGCAAGACATATTACAGAGTTTTGAATTCTACCAACTAAATACGAAATTCATATTATAGAACCACATTAACCAGTTACCAAATACTAGACAAGGCATCTAGTAACAATTTTTTTTCATTTCTTGGATTCATATAAACCATATAAATCACTTTATCAGAAACAGTAGCTAGGAAAGTTACAATTCGAACTTCCAAGCTTACCAGAAACTGCATCACAGAGTACAAATGCCAAAATAAATATACTGGAGCTTTTTGCTAAATAACTAATAGTCACAGTGACACATTTATGTAGGAGAACATCTATATTCCTCAGACTAAAGTATCAAATAGCAGGAGCAGGATCCCCACTGCTAGCCTATTACTATAAAAAAACATTTTTAAAAGTCTGTGTAGAAGTGACAGTTAACCTCAAATACTGCTAACAAGAACACTAAGAGAACAAATGCTGATCATTCAGAAAGAAAAATGTCTTTATTTTAAGGGTAGCATCTGAGACACTAATTATGGCAGAGTTTCTAAGATTCATAAACTGCGAATTACTATATATTAGTATATGAAATGTCATCTGTTAAGAAACTCTAATACAGCCCACCACCCAATGTGAAAATGTTTCTAATGTTAGGCTACTGGTAATAGTTTGTTTCATAAGATGTCTGAACAAAACAGAGTTCATTTGTGAACCGTAATATTTCCCTTCTGGAATATTGTGATCAAAGTGATAGATATGCCTGCCTCTAAGCCCTATGCACCATTTAAATTCAAATGCCTCCATCACAGCATAGTCGTGATGGGATAAGAGGATTCCTAAATTCCTGCATCCTCTACTCTTACGTTCTATAACCAAGAAGATATCTGTGCATTTATTTTTATTTATTTTACTTTATGTTACTAAACTGTGCAAAGCAGGTAAAATAAAATATGTACCATGAAAAACTAAGCTAAAGGCTTTCCATTTGGGGAATGGAAATAAAAGTTGAATTAAATCTCCAAATGAGCCAGAACTTACCTGCTTGGTGTTTGATGAATGAAACTGTGCAGATACTGGACGCTATAAAAGACAGAAAAATGGAATAAAGCCTTATCTTCTCCTAACATGCCTACATTTTCCATCTCCTACATCTACAATATAAAAAAGGAAAAAATAATGTCCGAGCAGAGACAGAAAGAGCCCTACACTTTGTGTTGGAAAGTTAGAGCATTTATCATCTTTCACACTGCTTTCTCCTATGCCATATATATTCCAGCTTTAATGTCTCACCACTGAGGAAACAATCCTCCTACCAGATACTGAAGATCCTGAAGTTAACTAGTCCACCTGACAAATCTGTTTCACACAGTACATACAAATGATCTACAGTTCCTTTAGCCTGCATATAAGTGTCCTGTGGGCTACTTACAGATGAAACCATGTGATTACCTACCAGTTAGCAAAACAAGTGTTCAATAGATTCTCTACAATCTGCCAAGATTTGCCAATAAGAGCTGACAGGCAAGCTAAGAAAAGGGATCAATTCATCTAAGCTGGCATACAGCTACCTCTGGAAGTGACACTTGGCAGAACCTGTGTCAAAGCTGCACAGAAACATTGACCATCCTTTATATGTAATCCTGCAGCTCTTGCCGCAGATACTGCAGGAAACAATTTGCAAAGGAATTTGCAAACAGTTTACCTAAATTAAGTTTTCCTAGTATACCTAGGTTAATCCTCTACTTTTTCTTATTAAAAATTAAAGGAAACTCTTTGATCTGGGTTGATGCACTGATCAAGTACAACACTGTTGCCTGGTTTCATTTCTAATCAAGATAAGACCTCTAAAAATACAGTACACCCAGTTCCACATCCCAACATTAATTAGAAAATCACCCTAGAGTGGGGGTCACAGACAGGCAGCCCACAGACTGAATTTAGCTCAAAGACATATATTTATTTGGCCTACAAGTATTTCTTTTAATGAACTATTGGCCGATATTTAAAAGTAAGATTTCTGATTTCTCTTGACAATAGGAAGATCTCACAACACTTGGCCCACACTTATGCATGAAGTGATCAGCTAGAGCACATCAGTAAAGCAGCTGCCCCTTTAGATGAGGCATGCACACTCCGGTTTACCTCAGTCACATCACTCTTAGCATTATTACACCTGCCCCTGTTTATTCATTTACATCACCTGCCTGCAGGCCCCATAGGTGTTGCCTTTGAAAATCCCGTTCTAATGACAAATTATCTGAATTAATAATAGTATATGAGCTTGACAAACAGAAATAGCACTACTCTAAATGAGATCAGCAAGCAAAAGGAACAAGAAGAGGAAGAGGAGTGGGAGATGGGAGGAAAAAAGGGAGGAATAGAGAACTACAGTGGAGGTGGGGGAGGGATAAAAAGAGAGGAGAAGAAAGGTAAAGAAAGGAGGGAGGGGAGAAGCAGCAGCTATTTACGCCTTCAAAGAGCTTACAATCTAGCAGAGGAGTACTGAACAATTTAAAAGCAGCAAATCAATGAAAGCAAAACAATGCAATATAGAAAAGTAAATAATGTTGAAATGAAAAGTACAGGTTATGAAAGAGTAAGATGGATTTAGTAAGAAAAGAACTCCAAAACTTCTGAGCAGGCAAGGTAATTAAACCAGATGAGAAGAGAGGAGGGAGGTGGACCTTTTAAATAACAAGAAATGTTAAAGTCAAATATGCAGAAGTGGAAACTAGCACGGTCAAAACAGGCAGGGACTGACAAGACGGTAAAATTGAGTAAACAGAAGGATTAGCTGATTGGTTTAACTGGACCAAAAATGCACAGTACACAAAGATTGGAGCAATGCTTGATGAAATGATGTTTCAGAGATACACAACTTTCTTTAGGCATTCATCTCATTTAGCCTCAATCAACTCATGATCATGGAGGGTCCTTTTGAAGAGAATTAACTTGTAGAGAAGATACTATTTCAATGAAGCATCATCTTTATGAAGCTAGTCTGACGATGAAAAAGAATGCAGTAATGATTAAGAATTAGTAGGCTCCTTCTCTGTGCTTTGTTTATGAGCATATCAATCTGAGGGGAAAAAAGGTGCTTTTTAAAAGGAGAGAAGATGGAAAAAGGAAAGATAGTGAAAAAAAGCAGCTAAGAGAAAAGAGAAAACAAAAAAAGGAAGTAAGTATTGTTGGAAAGCATTGAAAGCATTGCTGTTAGCCTGCTGTCTAGCTTGATCCCCAAATTCTCCTGCTCCGAGTGATCTCATACCCACAGTGCTTCAGCTCCCTCAATTATATCAGCTTCCACTTCTGAGAAAGCCTCTTTTTGGGCTCCCTGCTGCTGAATTTGCTTACCTGAGGTTTTTGGAAAGGATTTCGCCTGGAAGACTCAAAGGTGGGATAAACTGGCCGGGATGATGTCCGCTGGGCAGGATCTTGGCACACAAATCCTGAATGGGGAATGGGCAACATTAAAACCTACCAATTTCTAAGAAATTAGCAGGTTTGGCTGTACCTTTTCTTTAGATTCACAAACTCAGTTTCACTGTCATAAATACTACAGAGATCTATCCCCAAAAGGATTACGCACAAGTCTCCCATACACACATTGTGCTTGAACTTTGAACCACCATAACTGGAGAGAACAAGAAAAAAGAAATATGCAGATAAATCCACCTTGCTGGCTGTGTAGCTAAAATGTGATTCTGATTGAGAAAGTGATGTAGATTTTTTTTTTTTTTTTTTTTGAGACAGAGTCTCACTGTGTTGCTCGGGCTAGAGTGAGTGCCGTGGCGTCATCCTAGCTCACAGCAACCTCAAACTCCTGGGCTCAAGCGATCTTTCTGCCTCAGCCTCCCGAGTAGCTGGGACTACAGGCATGTGCCACCATGCATGATGTAGGTTTTTGATGAACCTCAGAATAAATCTGCAAATCACAACTTTAAAACACAGTTGTTGTTGATAAAAACAAGTTATTTTAAAGTGACTTCCTGGATAATGACTGAAAAATGTTGTTTTTCAGGGAGAATCCAAAAGCAAGTGCACAGTCTTGTCCTGTTACATGATCTACTTCTGAAACTGCAGAAGGTGATCTATTGATAACTTTTAAAATAAGCTTTGTAGATTATCTATGGCTTTAGAAATTGGACTTTGGCTAATTTCACTTACTTCCTAAAAAGAAGCAGATTCTCATCCAAGGAGAATAAAGTAGCCAAGTTTTACAGCATTTGCTGGTACACCAGGTACTAGTTCATCTCAAATAAATTTTATTATGTCTTTTTATAGTACTCAAAAAAAAACAACAAACCTACAACATATCCACCTGACTGCACATCTCCATTTCAAAGTTTTGGCTTATCTACTTAAAAAGGGGTTTCTTCCTTGGGCTACTTCGGTTATAACTACTACAAAACAGACCATGTTGAGACCAATAGAGACTGTCTAGCAGAAATATAACCAGTCTCCTTTGTAGCAAGGCTTCTTCAGTGGGTTTCACTTTCCCAGCTCAGAAAAAAATATACTTTCTCCAGATCTTTGCTTCATTCTCTTCCTCAGCTCATAATTCCTGTGCCCCAGGTCTCAGCCTTAGTTGTGGTTCAGCCTCAGGACAGGATGGAGCCAGGGGGAGTAGAAACATATAAACATTTCCCTGAAAATATAATTTTTTAGTACAAAACATTCAGCATGGCTTAGGAACTGCCAGTTGGCAATACATATGGAGTCTGACAAAATGGATACTCTGGTTAATTTTTGTGAGTCCAGTTCAGAAAACAATACTACTCACCTACAACCGTGAACATATCTGAAATCATACTGGCTTTAATCTTTAGGTCCAGAGGTGCATCACTAACAGAACAGAGAAAGAAAAGAGAAATTGATAATTTTGTAGATTAATGGAATAGCTGTCCTCTAACGGGCCCCAATATAGCAAAGTTTCCAAATGTCAGTGAGGAGCAACACATAAAGCACATCGAATACATGGAAAAAGAAAAAGAAATCTGGGCCAAAATACTAGAAATAAAAGCCTGGTGTTAAACTTATCCTCGGGAAGGCAGGCCCAGCACCGAAGCATTGATTCCTTAACATGCAATTTTTTTATTCCAGAGGTCTTATTTTGCACAAATTAAGAATACTGCTTCATTATCACTGTGGATTTTAGAGGTTCTCTTAGTATCTCTCTTATGAGTGTGCTTTCATTCAAATTATTTTTTATTTCTGCAATAGTCGAATCACATTCATATGCAAGAAAAGAAAGTTTGGTCACCTCTGTACTTTTTTTTAAGTCCTCATTTTCTTTTCTAAATCAATCTTCTTAGGCTTTCAGGCTTGTAAATAGGGCAAAAAAATACAAGTCATACCAAAATCTCACCAGATGATACAGCAGGAACCCACACAGAAATAAAAGTAACATGGACCAAAAGCAAGAGGTCTCTTTGTGGCAGTGACTGCCATGCTGGCTTTGGCATTGAGGTGTTCCTCCAGAAACCAGACTACTCTTGCTGCCGTACCCCGTGCATCACTCTAGGGACCTCTAACATGGTATAATGTACTTTACTGGGCAATCTGTGAAAGGCTGACTTGACAAAAGTTTAGCATAACATCTGAAGCACATTAATATCTAGCTCTACACCTTACTGTTGAGGTTAAGCCAAACTCCCACTCCACAAAGTAGTCAATCTGTCTTTATTTGATTACTTGGCATTTTGCCAATATCTCTCATTCTTAAAAATGTAGCAGCTGGGTAGTCTTTGGCATAAATCTCTCGGGCTCTCTGTTTAGAGAAGTGTATAGTTAATAGAAATTCTGGCTGTAGCTGCAAATATAAGAATAATCTTCTCTGGTATTGAAAAATATGTTTCTTTACTTCTTTTTCTTTTCTTTTTTTTGAGACAGAGTCTCACCCTGTCACCTGGGCTAGAGTGCCATGGCATCAGCCTAGCTCTCAGCAACCTCAAACTCCTGGACTCAAGCGATCCTCCTGCCTCAGCCCCCTGAGTAGCTGGGACTATAAGCATGCACCACCACACCCGGCTACTTTTTTCCATTTTTAGTAGAGAAGGGGTCTCACTCTTGCTCAGGCTGGTCTTAAACTCCTGACCTCAAGTGAACGTTTCACCTCAGCCTCCCAGAGTGCTAGGATTACAGGCGTGACCACTGCATCCATGTGTGTTTCTTTCCTTCTTTTAAACAACAGATTGGTTAAAAAAAAATTCTTTTAAGGTTGTTTGAAGTTTTTTAGACTTTAATCTTGGATAAATACCAGAACATGGGACAGGGTAAAAGGACCAGATATTACCTACACTGCCCTGGGTCCAGCTTTATATGTTTACAGTATATATGGATTTGAGTCTACATAAACTTCTGGTAACAGAAGAAATATAATACTGTATGTATTTATTTAGCCTTAAGAGAACATCTACAAATTTTTTTAAAAAAAGAAATGGGGATACAAATGAATGGAGGGGCTGGGTGTGGTGGTTCACACTTGTAATCTTAGCACTTTGGGAGGCCAAGGCAGGAAGACTACTTGAGGCCAAAAGTTTGAGACTCCTGGGCAATAGAGAGACCCCGTCTCTACAAAAAAGAAAAAGGAAAAAAAAAAAAAAGAAAGAATTAGCTGGGTATGCTGGTACATGCCTGTAGTCCCAGCTACTTGAGAGGCTGATGCAGGAGGATCACTTGAGCCCTGGAGTTTGAGGTTGCTGTGAGCTATGATGATGCCACTGCACTCTGCATTCCAGTCTGGGCAACAGAGTAAGACCCTGTCTCAAAAAAAAAAAAGAAGAAGAAGAAGAATGGAGGAATCATCCCTTAGAAGCCCAATAAAGAGTAAACATATATTGCAAATTGACTAGGAAGACAGAGGTTCATGGTTGTCATGTAGACTTTGACAACATACCATAAACCATCTAAATTAAGAAATTCTAGTCATCTTTAATAACTAGGAAAAAAATCTTCTAGTGCCAAAAGAAATGACAAAAAAAAAAAAAAGAAAGAAAGTATTTTAGTGCTCCTAGAAGGCTTTTCTAGCTGATGGAACTGACTTACCAAGCCAAAGAAGGAGAGAGATTCACTTCCAACAACCATGGCTTCAGAGTAGAATCTATGAGCACGTCAAAGCCATAGAGTTCTAGAAATACAACATAACACAATACACAACATCATTTTCCATGTTACAATCACACAAAGATCCAGAAGATTCAATCCAATTAACTCCCATCAGAAGCTAGAAACTCACTGAGCATAAGTAGTAAGCTGAAGTACAAGCAGAGAATCTTTCAAGTTCAAGAGAAATTAATCAAGTTCTAGGGATAATAAGAAAACAATGCTATGAAATTCTACTGTTTTTATCATCCACTCTATTGATGTTCCTAAGAAACAGAGAAACTTGACTCTAGAAGAGTTAACAAGCATGATTCTGCTGTGCTTATGAGCAAAAAAAAAAAAACGTTGGGAAAAGGAATGAAACAAGTGCATCTAGTATCAATGCTGCTTTGGGCCTGCTCAGGACTGTCCTCCCCCGCCACCTTCCTGCCACACCCTGAACACAGAAAAATCTACTGAAGGCATCTCTCTAGGATCCTGCCATCACATTTTCTTAGACCAGGATCTTGCTTTGCAACCTAGGTCAAGAAGACATCTAAATGTAAAATATATTTATTCTTTTCTCTCTCCTATGGTTTCAATTTCCCTTTTGAAGACAGAAAATGAAACACACTAGTCCAACATAGACAGAAAGACAGAAAAGAGAAAGTCAGTTGTAGCAGAGCAGAAGTGTGACCACACACATTATTGCACATCATCACCAATATTATTTAAGAAGGCAGGGAGCCTTCTTAAATATCAAATTTCCATGGCTTCTAGATTCTTGACTGATTCTCTTCCTTTACCTCCCCAACTGTTGTAAGGAGCAAAGACAGATGCATGAGCAGGATTTCCTCCCAGGATGCCCGGTTTCATTTAACAAATTTGGGGATGAGAGGGTAATTTTGGAACCCTTCATATTATTATTAATGAGACCCTCTCTACAGAAATCATAATAGTGCACAGTCCTTGGTATACATATATATCAAATATATCAGACTTTCAGAAGTCCCACTCACTCCCAAACATCCCATCCTGTGTCGCTAAAATAAACTGCTTATACCTTTCCTCCAAGAGAAAAAGACTACCTTCCTTACTGTTAGACTAGAGGTCACAGGCCAGAGCTCACACCCATAGAACACAACTAGGTATTTTCCAGAAATTAATTCTCATACAAATTTCCTTGCTTTATTTCTCAATCCTCTTAAAAAGCAGAAAATAATTCTAAAAAGATGGCTTCCAAAGACTCCTTGCCAGAGCGCAGGAAGTCTGACTTTATATAATGTAGTACCAAGAATCCTAGATGGGAATCTGAAGCCCTGGTTGTCCTCATGACTCTACACTATGGAACTTGGGGAAATCATTTCTCTGAGATTTCTTTAGCATCCTTTGATTTCCTTTAGGCTCTTTATTAATCACTGTTTGTCACATGTAGATGCTCAGTAAACCTATATCCTATTTATGCAGCATGGATTCAGGCAGACATGCACATTCTAAACCCTCTAGGGAAGTTTCCATGAATAAGTTGACTTTCATAGCAATTATTTGGGATTCTATTTAATTTGCAAAAATAATCAAGAGTTTGTGATGGATTCACCTTCATGTAACTATACAAAATTTACATATGATTTATACTGTAAAATGTAAAGAAAAGGAAGCTCTTTCACCCACTTTCTTTTGGTAATGAATTCATAGCTTTTATGGCTAGTACAGTCTTCTGAATATCTGATCTAATTGTTAGTAATCCCACAGAATATTCTCCCTTTAACCTGAGAAAAATCTGTTGCAATATAGCACTAAATAAGGCATTTAAAAGGAAAAATATAATTGCAAAGTCTACAAGTCCATGTTATCATTACACAAGAGAGAATACAATGTCTGACTCAAGAAAAATAATAAGTCATAAGCACAGGATTCAACTGTTTTATATAGCGGTAATATTAATAATAGTAAGAGGAACAAGGGTAAAAATGATGATATACATATTGATTAGATTTGCAGAATCGGTCACAAACGAAAACAAATTCAAATCAAATTAAGAATCAATGAGGCTGGGCGTGGTAGCTCCTGCCTGTAATCCTAGCACTCTGGGAGGACAAGGTTGGGAGGGTTGCTTGTAGCTACGAGTTCAAGACCAGCCTGAAAGAGAAAGTGAGACTCTGACTCTACAAAAAACAGAAAAATTAGCCAGGTGTGGTGGAACACGCCTATAGTCCCAGCTATTCGGGAGACTGAGGCAGGAGAATCCCTTGAGCCAGGAGTTCGAGGCTGCAGTGAACTGTGATGAGGCCACTGCACTCTAGCCTGGGCGACAGCGCGAGACCCTGTCTAAGAAAACAAAAAACAAAATAAGTAAGACCCACTATTTAAACACCTTGCATTCAGCAGCTACCACATTTACTTAACCATTTTCCCAAATCAGAGGCAAATTCCAAGAATCTCAGTTGACAGGCTGAGAACTAATGTTCTGGGAAGTAAAAGAAAAAAAAAAATGACCACGAGAAAAAACAGCCTTCACAGTGTTAAATTAATTTTCTCTCAAAAGAATAAAACCTGTTAGTGCTTAACAATCTCCATGGAGAGTGTGGCCAAACTAAACAATCAAACCTCAAATCTAACTTCATCTGTACATGTACCAGGCTGAGACCTACTACCATCTAAGAGTTGAGGAAGAAACACATACTGGTATGAGACAGCACTGTTAACACGGTGCAAAGCCCAGCTCATCTAAAAGGCTGGAATTAGGGGAGAAAAATGGGGTGAAAAGATAGCTTTTGTATCAGGTTTCCCTCTTAGAAGAATCAACTCAGCTTAAGAGAAATAATTTGAGTCCTTGGCAGGCTACTAGAGTCCTTATAATAACACTTTTAACTTATGATTGGTATTTTCCATGGACATTAAAGATTTTAAAAGGTAAGGAGTAGGTTGTAGTAAGAATACTAAACGTCCTCACCCTTTAATGTTGTGTGTTTTAGCAGCAGTGTCTAGAAATTCAAATCTTCAGTATCCCAAAAGAGATACACCAGTGTTCCTGTCATTAATGGGTACAGGCAAGCTAGGCTTTTCTGGTTCTGACAGCTCCTCTTTCTTTGTTCCTTTGTGTTGTCTTTGTCATGACAGAAGAGCATGACTCAAGCAATCCTCCTGCCTCTGCCTCCCGAGTAGCTGGGACTACAGGCACAGTATACCACATCTGGCAAATGTTTCTGTTTTTTGTAGAGATGGGGTCTCACTGTGTTGCTCAGGCTGGTCTTGAACTTCTGGACTCAAGTGATAGTATCTTACTGAACATTTCCCCAGGACAGTATTCCTTGGTAAGAAATATTTCCTTCAGCCCCCAGCCAAACCAAAATGAACTTGAAAATCAGACTAGCCAGTGGTAAGGAGAAGCTTAATTACACTTTCTGCTTTGCATTGGTACCCTTATCTCCGTATTTCTTTAATACAGCTTCTTGAAAAGCAATTTACACTTAGCTGTCTGAACTTTCTTAATACCTATTCACTCCCCACACATAAGAATTTGCTTCTGCTCTCGCTCTCTGACAATTGACTGATCACCAAAGACCACCTCACTGTCAAGCCCAAGCATCTGAAACTGTTGACCATCCCTTACTTATTGGAACTTTCTTCTCCCTTGGGTTCCAGGACACTGCTCTCTTCTGATTCTCCTCCTCTTTCCTCTCCTCCTTTTATTCCTTCTCTTATACTCAGCTATTCAATGGTACATTTGCTCATGGGGACATCCTCAGGTCTCTTTCTTTTTTAATTCTACTTCTCTTCCTGGGTGATCTCATGTATTCTCATGGCTACAATTAATATTATGATGATGACATTCAAATCATATCTTCAGCCAAGTGTCTCCTGGACACCAAATCCATAATTCCAAATGCCTTCTAGACATCTTCACTAGGATATTCCACAGGTATTCGGTACTCAACAAAACAGTGCTTGTTATCTTTCCCCAAAACTGTCTGGCTTCCTATTATTCTCCATCTTGGAAAATGGTAACCCTATCCACCAGGCTCCAAAGCTAGAGAAACTCCCCTCACCACCTCCCAAGTACAACACAAAACCAGAATTCTCTCTCTTTCTTTTTAATCCAGCCTATCTTCTCTATTCTTTTTTTTTCTTTCTTTTTTTTGAGACAGGGTCTCACTCTGTTGCCTGGGCTAGAGTGCACTGGCATCATCATATCATCATAGCTCACTGCAACCTCAAATTCCTGAGCTCAAGCAATCCTCCTGCCTCAGCCTCCCAAGTAGCTTGGACTACAGGTGTGGTCTACCACACCTGGCAAATGTTTCTATTTTTTGTAGCGAAGGGGTCTCCCTATGTTGCTCAGGCGGGTCTCAAACACCTGGTCTCAAGTGATCTTCCCACCTCAGCCCCCCAAAGTACTAGGATTACAGGCATGAGCCACTGTGTCCAGCCCTCTGTTTCTGTTTGATGTATAATTTCTTAAGTGTATAATTTCATCAGCCTTGTTAACTGGGTACCTCCATGTAACCCACACTCCTCTCAACCCACACAGAACATTTCCGTCACCCCAAAGAGATCTCTCATGTCCGTTTCTGGTAAATACACCCACCCCAATCCGTCACAACCACTAGTCTTACTTCATTCAAAACCAACAGATTAGTTTTGTCTATTCTGGCACTTCAGCTAAACGGAATCATATGGTATATACTCTTTTGAGTGTGGCTCCTTTCATTTAGCATGTTTTTGAGATTCGCTCACTTATCACTTCTTTAAGACAGATTTATTTAGGTATAATTTATATACAATAAAATTCACCATTTTAAAATGTGCATTTTGATGAGTTTTGGCAAATATATAGTTGTTTAAACACCACAATCAAGATATAAAACAATTTAATCACAAACATTCCTTTGTGCCCCTCTGCAATCTATCCCCATCCCCCCACCCCAGCAACCACTGATCTGATTTTTGCTTGTTTTCTGCCTTTTCGAGAAAATCAAATAAATGGAATAAATATACTATGTAGCCTTTTGAGACTGGCTTCATTCACTTAGCATTGAGCTTTTG